CTCACACAAAGTGGCAACTGCACATATCAAGAGGACTGCACAAAGCATCAAACTTTCCTGATGCATGATTGGATCACTAAAAGCAGAACTACTGAGCAGGGCTAAGGCCACAATGGGAGGTGCGTGATAAACATGAAAGATACAAGGATCATCTTGCTGCACTGATCTGAGTCAGGCAAAGTGCTAATAATTTGCCAACACATTTTTAATAAGATTTTTTATTTTTTCTACAACACAGACATGACACAAACATATAACAAACACAAACATAAAATTGGGGGTACATTATGTGAATATATATACTTTAAAGCCCACTATCTATTACTTAAAACTTACACCTCATAGTAAACCAAGATTTAATGCAACCAATATTGTCAAAAGCTAAGTTCTTGAAGTCTATTTCTTCTCTTTTCCTTGTTTATATACCTTGTCCTGTCTTAGTATGGATATAGTTCTCACCATTTATAGAATCTCCGCCATGTGTTTTCAAATGACTCTTCAGTATGATCCTTCAGAGTTAAGGTTATTTTGTCCATCTCTGCTGCTTCTAATATTTTGTTAATTAATTCTTCTTTACTTGGTATTTCTTGGCTCCTCCAGTATTTGGCATATAATATTCTAGCTGAGGTGGTTATTATATATATTAGCAGGGGTCATTTCGTAGAAAAAGAAGTGTAGGAGCTCATTAGCACAACTCATTAGCATAACTCATTTGCGTATGCCACACCCCCTGATATCACCAGAAGTGTGTCAGAAGGCACCACTGGACTGTTTTGGATTGCTAGCTATTGGGGGGAGGGGGAACGTGCAGATCTGTCGTCACAGAGGAGGGAGAGCTTGTACCTGAATAAAACTTGGTCTTAAAGGTGCCACTGGACTGTTTTGGACCGGGGGAGCTCTGCAACTTACCTGGCTGCTTCTTGCTCTGACTGAGGGCTGCTGGGAGCAGGGGGTGGGGCTTGTTGCATGTGCCCACCCCCTGGGTTCTTTACTGCCGGAGCTCCGCTCCTGCAGGAAATGACCCCTGTCAAATAAGAGTCATCGCTTTTAAAATTATTGGGTAAAATGCTCAACAGAAATATTTCAGGAATAAAAGGTACATTGCATTTCAAAACCTTCTGTACAGTTTCATGTGTCCCTTGCCCAATATTTCTTAGCTCTGTCGCATAACCACCACATATGGTAAAATGATCCTGTTTTATTCTCACATTTCCAACATTTATCAGAGCATTTTGGATCAAATTTAGCTAGCTTTTCGGGAGTTTTATATCATCTATAAAACATCTTATAAATATTTTCTTTGTATGCAATTTGCCAGCACATTATGAGCATCTGGATACTCCCTGTGTAACAAATTGTCTAGACAAAGGGGAAGCCAGATCTCAGAATTCATGGACTAGGATAACTCTGTGCCGTTATGTATGTTTACTTGCAGTGGTTCCCTCCTATGAACAGCAGCCCTAGTGGCTAAAGAAGGCAGAGAATCAATGCTTGGTCTGGAGGGTTCCTCAGTTTCTTTTCAGTATTGTGTATCCAGCTACTTGAAATACATTTTAGTTAAAAAATGTGTGAGTAAACTTAGGCATGGGAACAAGTCACTGCTTAAGCAACAGTACAGAACATATCCCCTCTTTCTTTCTTTTCCTTTCCTTTTTTTAAATAAAGAACAGAGGAAACAGCTGACTACCAAATCATGGTTTAAGTATAATTATAACATTGCCTTTGGAAGCAATCTACAAATCAGGTCAAATTGGAATGCTGGCAATTAAGCCAACCTAAAATCCTTACTTCAGTGCAGGCCGGCACAGTTCGAAGTAGAAAAGGCAGATAATGACACAACATGATTACATATAATATCGACCTGGCCCTTATATGCTAGGCTTGTCATTCATGATTTGCTTTGAAGTCACAGAACACCAACCAGGACAAGCCACTTGAGTTAAATCATTATGGATAATGCAACTCCACTGTCTAGTTTGCTTAGTTTCTTCCTGGGAGCGTGCCAATCATCTCTCTGTGTGTGTATGTGTGTGAGACAGAGCTATTAAAAATATTGGTTTCTGTTGCATGATTTTTGCAAGAAACTTGTAGCCATCCCTTTCTCTCTTGGATCTTGAATCTACAGTCACCAGTTTGATAACAGCTCCTGTGTGAGCAATTCCAGTCCTTGTGCCTGTTTTTCCTGTTGTCTAGTACTTCTGTGAGATGGAAAGTGGATCCTTGAAAGTTAGGTAAATTCCACTATAATCACTGATTAAGCCAGGGCATTCCGGAGGGCATTTCCTATTAAGTTACCTATGAAGTAGAAAAACAAGCAACAGCTGGGTACAGCTGGTGTGGGTGTGTGGATGTGGGCCTCAAACACTAGTCATGATTATTGAAATGGACCAGAACCTCCAAATCATTGCTCAACCCCAGGATAAATCTTCAGTCTGGGACACGGAGCTTAGGCACTGATATGGAGTAGCTCTCCACCCCAAACTCCCATATATAAGACTGGTATTAATGGGCCTGACTAAGGGTGCGTTCAGACGGGGCATTTACAACGGTATAGGTTGGAATCAGTGTACTTACCAGCGTTCACATGGTGAACATCTGTCTTCCGTCCCTAACCGTTGCAAAGAGCTTTAAACCGTTGTATTCTGCCACTAGGTCCCCAAGTGGTGGTATCCTGAGTGCAACGGTTGTAATCGCTTTACCCCCCCCCATCTGATCGCTCTCCACCGGTGTCTAGCCACTTCCGTTCAGAAGCCCGAGGCTTCCGATTTTCACCTGCCATTTTTTTTTTTAGGTCGGCGATATGCGCTTGGGCGAAGCTTTGCCCCGGCGTTTGTTTTTTAAAAAAAGAAAAGGTCCTTAGCTTAATGTTTAGGAGGAGTCCGGGACCTTCAGGGCATGCTTTTCTGGACGGGGTGTTTTGCGCATGTGCGAAGATCACCATTCAGAGCCACAGAAAACCAGAGGATGGACAATCGCATGACAACATTGTGTGGAAAACCAATTTAAAGTTGTTGCAATGGGGGTGGGGAGCAAGATCTCCATGTGGAAACAGACTACACATCTAGTGGAATGAGATGGGAATGATGCCACCGAATCCTGATGTGAGGGAATGATTACACCACTTCAGAACACAGCTAGGGAGTTACATTTCTAACACTACTCTACTTAAAAAAAAACACCCTAGATATGGAAAACTAGTATAGTAGGGAATGGGATGGCCTAAAACCTTTCTCTGTGCTGATATTTTTATTTGCAGGATTTTTTTTACATAGGGAATCATTCAAAAATGAAATCTGAAGTGGTATTGTCCATTGTATCAATTCTGGAGGTTATCTTTTTATTCTGCTGCATTTACTGACTAGGATACAGGCACTGATAAGTAGTAAGTAGTAAAAGTAGTAAAGTAGTACTAGTAAATCATAAGGAAGTAATATTTTTCTACTGATAAATAGTAAAATCATAAGGAAAAGTCCTCTGAAAATCCTCATGCCAAAATGACACATGAACTGTCCCAGAAAGCAGATGTAGGTCATAGCAGAAAATAATTACTGGTGTAGCCTGAAGCCCACTTACCCTTAAATAACCTTATTTATGTGCTATTTAAATCAGTGGCAGTGCTGTACTAGTGTTCCTTTACCCCTCCCTATCTAAGAGCCTTGATCCTATTCTGCTGAAAAAAGATGTATTTTCATTGCACAAGTCTGATGTTTCTAGTCCTCACATCCAGTGCAATCATAGAATCATACAGTTGGAAGGGATCCCACCCAGAGCTCCCGGAGGAGATCAGGGCCCTGCGGGACCTGTTACACTTCCGCAGGGTCTGTAAAACGGAGCTCTTCCGCCAGGCTTTTGAAGCCGCCACCACCACTACCACCATTGATATCTGACAGTTTATGAAGAGCAAGCCCGACTATCTGGGTCCCACAATTACAGTTTGAGCCGACTGCCTGGACATTTGAGGGATATCAAGAAGTTGACTGTACACCGAGGATTGAACACTAGCACTTTAATATGTTGTAATATTTATAGTTTTTAATTCTCTATTGATGGTATTTATATTATATATTTTATTGTTATTTTGCAGTGTTTTATACTGGTTATGTAAGCCGCCCTGAGCCAGCTTTGCTGGGAGGGCAGGGTAAAAATCAAATAAATAAATAAATAAATAAATAAATCTCCAGAGACATCTAGCCCAACCCCCTGCACAATGCAGAAAAATTCACAAATACCTCCCCCCACACCCTGTTCCATGCCTAGAAGAGTTACTATAACAGAGTTGGTCAGTAGAAACAGAACAGGTACAAGTCTGCTCAGGTTTCACACTGATTATCTGGGCAATGCCTTCCAGGGTTCACAAATAAAGTCCTTTGGTTGGCTGGAGCCTGTTCAGTCCCAGTGACTGTGTCAAATGTTCTCATTGTACTGAAAGTTAGCATGGGGGTAGGGGGTGGGAGAAGGAAAAGACACACTCGTTTCAAGGAAAAGTTAGTGGACAGATAAATAAGGGTGGCAAGTATCACTGACTTGGGGAAAACAGCTGTCTTGTCATACCACAATAGCAAAAGTGGTCAAAACCTCAAACAAAATTGTTAGCACACTTTGAAGAATGCAGAACTTCTGGTTCCACTGCTAGACAGCTGTCTTTCTACAGATTCCACATCACTATGTTTTCCCTTTATAGTTATATATTAAAAGGTTTGACTGCCCTCTCAGGTGCAACACTATAATACATCCTGCTCCATGTCCCTAATAAAGGAAATGCAGCGATGAGTGATTTACTGCTTTTCCCTACCAGAAGGCCCAAGGCAGTTTACAAAATTATGCTTAAGCACACACACAAAATAATAACAGCTGTAAACAGAACCCTGTAATTCACACCACCATCACAACAGCAATCCACGCCCCTCTTCAGTTATAGACAACTGCAAAGTCTTCTGCTACAAGACACGAAGTGTGGATAAGCTAGTACAGGCCAGTATGGAGTATCCAGTAGGAAGATGTCCAAGATGGTATGTTCCATCTCCTGCTTTGATCCCCCTGAGAGTCACAGTACCGGTAAGAAATTTACTTTCACCCCTGCAGGAGAATAATTTGTTTACCTCTCCGTCTTGGATAAGTGCCCTTGTTTAAATTGGGGGACACGAAGCTTCTTTCTACTGTCAGACAATTGGTCTATCAAGCTCAGTATTGTCCACTCTGATTGGTTGCAGCTTTCCAGGGTCTTTGGGGGAGAGATTTCACAGTACTTATAACTAGACTCGGGAGGGAAGCTAAGTTGTGTTGGTACTTGGATGGGAGACCACCAAGGAAGGCTCTGCAGAGGAAAGCAATGGCAAGCCACCTCTGCTTCTCATTTGCTTTGAAAGCCCCTTGCTTGGGTCACCAAAAGTTGGCTGCAACTTGACAGCACCTATCTATTACTGAACCTGAGACTTTCTGCATCCAAGACAACTGCTCTACTATGTAGCCACAACTTTTCCCTGAGACCATTAGCATGGTTCACCAAACTGTGCATTCTCCAGGGTCCAATTATAAACTCTTTCTTACAAAGCGGTTTTTAGTCACTTGGACTTGACTTAAATCAGGACACACAAAACAATCCTATGACATTTCTTTTTAGAAGCAAGTCTCACTAAACTGGATGGGGTTTTGCTCCCATGTAGGACTGTAGCTACAGTCTTATTGAATCATAATTAAGAATTGTTTACTAAAAAGTTAAATTATTTAGATGTTCATATTTTTCACATCCTGATTTCTGCTTTTGGTTTTACCTTATTTCTTCTTTCCATAAAAGGCTAGGTGAAAACCTTACAAATACCATGATTTAAATAAATCCAGAGGGGTTGCTGTGTTAAGTTTATTGTTGCAAAAATAATCAGGAGTGGAAGAATATCATGCTAGTCTTTAAAGTGCCATTAGACTCCTGTTTATTTTAGATATATCCAGAATTCCTGCCTCTGGTTAATTAATATATGGTATCAGGAATTAGCCCTGACCTGGATAGGCCAGGCTAGCCGCTAGCCTGATTTTGTCAGATCCTGGAAGCTAAGCAGGGTCGGCCCTGGGTAGTATTTGCATGGGAGACCACAAAAAAATATCAGGGTCATGACGCAGGGCAAGGGTCACCTCTGGACATCTCTTGTGCTGAGAGCCCCGTGGGATTGCCCTAAATCAGCTGTGATATGATGGGGGGGAAATAACGAATTAAAGGATTTATAAAACCTTTGTGCCCTAACCTGGATAGCCCAAACAAGTCTGATCTCATCAGATCTTGGAAGCTAAGGAGAGTCAGCCCTGATTAGTATTTGGATGGGAGACCACCAAGGAAGTCCAGGGTCATGGCAAAACCACTTCTAAACGTCTCTTGCCATAACTCAGCTGTAACTTGATGGCACCAGAAGAGAAAAGGGAAAAAACCCTTCAAATTGTGCTATGCTGAAATGTGATTTTTGAGCAGGATGTATTGCAAATAAAATCCACTTCTTTACCCTGCTGCAGCCTTTGCTAAACTCCTAACCAGTTTGGTGTAGTGGTTAAATTCGGGGACTCTAATCTGGGAGAACTGGGTTTGGTTCCTCACTCCTCCACTTGCAGCTGCTGGATGACCTTGGGCAATGGGCAAGCCATAGTTCTGTCAGGGCTGTTTTCTCAAGGACAGTTCTGAAAAGAGCTCTCTCAGCCCCACCTACCTCACAGGGTGTCTGTTGTGGGGAGGGGGAGGGGAAGGAGTTTGTAAGCCGCTCTGAGACTCCGAGTGAAGGGCGCGGTATAAATCCAATCCGTCTTCGTCGTCGTCTTCTTCCCCTTAGACTGTTAAATAACATACAGCCATGAAGTCTGAGTACCGTTCGTTCTTTTTTTAAAAAATCAGGATCTTAATTAACTTGTGTATATTTTTTCTAACTAACACTGGCTGGCATTGCCGTGGTTTCCGGAAACCAATTTGTGTCAGAGGGGCAAAGTTTTCTCCAGGTTGACGGATCAAGACAGACAAGTTACTTTCTCTTGCAGAGCAGTGCACATGCGCCCTCCCAAACCTTTCTTGCGCTCGTGGCAAGCGGGGGGGGGGGGGGGGGATGAACTGTCAGGCAAGAGCATGCGCAAAGAAACTTGAAGAGTCCTAGGTTGGAAGGTGAGGGGGCGTGGCTTAGAGGGTGGGCGGCTCGGGTTCCAGAAGGAGGCGTGGCCAGCCCGTGTCTTTTTTGCTCGGCGTTCCAGGCGCGCTGTAGTGATAGCAAAGGCAACAGGTGCGTATACCGGGGACGAGGGGAGCGGCGGTAAGGAAGTCTAGGTTTTGCAGAGCCTGTTTTTCTTTTGCATTTGGGTGCAGCAATCCTCTAATAGTGTCTTGTAAAACAAAATTTCAGGTGCGTTAGTGGTAACCTTAAAAAGGGAGGGGGGTGGGTATATCCTTTACACCTGCTTCTCTCTGGTCCCGAAGAGGTGATGCTCTTTCGCATGCAGTGAAGGCAGCAGGTGTAATAGAGAAGCGCCATGCCTTGGATAGGAATTGCTGAAGTCCGGTATGCACTGACGGGGGGAGGGGTAGCCAAGTTATTGGTTAAGGTAGATAAGGGAATTTTAAGGCCTGCGTAGGTTATGTGTGGGCCTGTGGGAAACCTTAATTTGGAAGCAGATGTATCATCATGGTGTGTGATTGATAATTCTCCTCTGTCCTGTTGTGTGAGATCTTCCATAACTGTGAGATCCAGTGTGGTGTAATAATTAAGAGTGTGCTTGAGTAGGGAGGCTTGCAGATAGCAATGCCATGATTGAGCTGTGAATTTTATGAAATAATCTTGGGCATGCTGCCATCTGTTTAACCAACTTCATAGGGTTGTTGTGAGGTTAAGACAGGGGGACCATACATGGAAGAAGGGGGCAATAAAGTATAATGAAGTTGCTGGTCCTTCAGGTAGCTTTTTAGGAGTGGGGTGATCACATAGGTCAGGAGAGGGATTGTGGGTGCTGTGGTGTGTTAGATTGTAATTTTTTTCAACCCCTGAGTTAGTCTCCTGCAAGGAAACGTTTGGTTGTTTTAGCCTTGTTTTAGCCTTCTGAGATGTGAAAATGTTATTTGTCAGAGGTGTTGGTGCCATCCTGAGAATAACAGCCATAGCAGATACTCAGGTTCTTTTCTTTTAAAAGTTACTTTGGGATTTTGAAATATGAATGTTTTTGATTGTGTTATCTTACCTGTCTGAAGATGGTTACTACTTTCTTCTTTTTAAAAGAACCTAGTACTGCTTGGCTTCCTTATTAATGTTAAAGGAATCCTTTGGACTCCCTGGTTGGCAGCTAGTTATATGGGTGGATCACCATAACAAGCAGATGAAGGCCTTCTCTGTTCCTCAGGTCAGGTTGTTGTAGCTACCACTCCCTCTTTGTATTTCTCCTATCTCTTGGTCAGCAACCTGACGCCAGGCAGGAGCACTCGGGAGACTGGATCTGATCCATGGGCTTCTAGCTGCTGAGATCTGTTTTCTTAGCACTAAACAAACAGTGATCCTTGAAGACTTGAAGTGTTTGGTGTGTGCTGTGGCCTATTCAGTTCTTTCTTCCTTATGACTCTTGTAGCATTTTGAATTTTTTGAATGTGTAGGGAGGGATGGCTGGATTTCAGTTACGGATGTTGATTCTAGGAAGTGGTATTACCCATGCTGAATGATTTTGATTAACTCAGGTCCCGGTCACACGGGCCGGAAAAAGTGTGGGGGTGAAGTGTGGCTGTTTGCCCCAGAGCACAATAACGCGCGGCCGCCCGATCACACGTCCCGTCGAGGTCCCGTGGTTAGGGGGTGATGTGCCGATCACACGGCTATCCAGCAGCACGACAAAGAAGCGGCGTGGCGTGATCACAGCAGCAATCGCTAGGCGCCACTCCCATGGCAAACGGGTGTTGGTTTTACCGCAGTTTGTGTGCATGTGCCGTTGGGTGCTTTTGCGCATCCTGCAGAGACTTTAGGGGGGAAAAACCCCTTGTTTGCGAAGGAACATCGGCGGGCGCCGGATGCCACGGGAGTCCACTGGAAACGCGATCAGATGCCCGCCCTTGCCCCACGGTGTCCAGAAACCAGTACCTCTTAGGTACTAGTTTTTTAGTCTGCATCTTCGGCGGGACGCCATGGGATAGCCACGGGAGCACTATGCTTCCCAGATGTTGCAGTATGATCTCGCCCGTAAAATCCGCCTATCATCCGTATCTTTAGCTCGGCAAATGCTCCATGTGACTGGGGCCTCAGTCTTGGATGCCCATGTGGCATTTTTCTGCAGAGCCTGAAATCAGGGCTGGCGTCAGTATATCCTGAGGTGGGGCAACTGACAGGGCCCAGAACTTCTGATGAGGCCCACTGCTGCTTACCCATGCACCTCACCTGCCACCTCTGTACTCATTTGCCCAACTGCATAGAGTGGGCATGTGGGTGGTGCACAGTGGTGGCACTCCTGGTGGCAATGGCAGCAGCAATCCTGGATGCATGAACTGGCCAGTGCTGTTAGGGAATGGGTGTGTAGATGGTGAAGGCAACTGAGCATGGGCAATGGAAAGGCTTGCAAATGGGAGAAGATGGGGGGCATGCAGGTTTAGGGGTGGAAAGGAAGGTATGAGGGGGGGCCTGGGCACTGTCTGCTGGCGTCCACCAAAACTTGGAACTGGCTGTGCCTGAAGTCACTGGATTGTTGGTGTGGTCCTTCTGTCATGTATATTCTGTATCGAAATGTTCCAGTTTTGCAGAGGGTGATCAAGTAATTGTTATGAATTTGGTGGTGCAAAACTGTTAATGTAGCGCTCATGTAGGAAGAACTTGGAAGGAAACTAAATAGCAAAGCTCTGGGATCCTGTGGCTGCCAATTTCTTATCCAGATGTTTGTATTTACAGACTACTTCACAAAGTGGAAGTGGCTGTCTCTATAGGTGCCTGCATATTCCTAACCTAGATTTGGTTTCTTTTAAGGGAGGAGTACTGATCCTGGGGAGGAAGGTGTGGGTGGACAACTCACTCTTAACAGTACTTTATGAACCTTTCCAAAGCACCTAAATAGTTGTTTATCCTTTG